TGGGATCTCGCGGATACAGAAGGTTACGGTGGTGAAAATTGTGTTTCGTGGTGCCCCTGGATGTTTTCGGGGTCCGTAGGTATATATAGGAGGAAGAGGTACGTCGGTGGACGCACGAGGGTCCCACGAGACAGGGGGCACACCCTACAGGGGGGGCGCCCTCCTATCTCATGGAGGCTCCGGATCTTATTCGTTCCAAAAATCACGCTCCCGAAGGTTTCATTCCGTTTGGACTCCGTTTGGTATTCCTTTTCTTCGAAATACTAAAATAGGCAAAAAAAACAGCAATATGGGCTGGGCCTCCGGTTAGTAGGTTAGTCCCAAAAATGATAATAATGTATAAAATAAAGCCCATAAACATCCAAAACAGGTAATATAATAGCATGTAACAATCAAAAATTATAGATATGTTGGAGACGTATCAGGGCACAGGGGTGGGCCGCCTGCTAGGAGTCGGCCACTCTGGTGGCCGCCTGCTAGGAGTTGGCCAACCCTGGGGCCGCCTTCTGGGCCTTGCCGCCCTCTTGCAGCCGGCCGCTTGGACCTACCGGCCACAACAAGGCAGCCCTTCGTCTTGGAGGCTTGAGGGGCGAAGCCGGCCCCGATGTCTTGAAATGACATGGCGGGCACATGAGGCTACCCGTGGCTATTTACACCGACATACAGTGTCATTGGAAGCAATTCAGTTAGACAGTGATTTGACCTATGAAGAGAAGCCAGTCAAGATTCTCGAGTTTTCCAGCCGAGTTACTCGCAACAAGGTTATCAAGTTTTGCAAAGTTCAGTGGAGCCACCATACCGGGGAAGAAGCCACCTAGCAGTGAGAGGAATATCTTCGTAGAGACCACCCAAACGACCAACCTGAATCTCGAGGTCGAGATTCATCTTAAGGGGGGGGGTAGGTTTGTAACATCCCAATTTCCAATTTCGATGTTATACATAGATCATCATATGCATATCATATTTATTCTTGCTTTTGGTTGAGATCCTAGAAATCTTAAGCAACTCAAGGACCCAGGGAGAGAGTTGGTGGTTTCACAAAATTCATATTTGAATTTATTTCAAATTTGAGGGAAGGATCAATTTGATATTGTTATTTCTCTCTCGAATTATTTACAATAATAGAAATCTATGAGAGAAGATAATATAACTTCTTCAATCTGAGTGAAATATTGGAGAAAGAATTTAAAATCAAATTATGTTCTATTAATATTTTTATTTGCTATTTTATTTGAATTAGAAAAATATTGCATTTTTGAAAATTGCATCTTAGTCCAAAAAAATGTTCATCTTGTCCTAAATATTAGTTTTAGACGGTAAAAAATGTTTCTGGAATTTTAGTTTTTTCTTTATATTTTATTAGGATTTTTCTTTCGGGTGAAATTTATTTTTTAAAAAAGTTCTTTCCGCCCGACTCGGCCGAAGTCCCAGCCGAGCCGGCCCAGAAGCAGCACCACCGCCTCCCCAGTGCGGGAGTCCGCCCCGCCGCCGCCGACCGAGTCCGAGGTGGGCACGCCTCCCGAGGCCGACCCCTTCCCCAAGACGAGGCCGAGTCCCCCTCTTAAATAGCACACCGCCCCGCCGCTCCTCCACCGCCTCCCGCCAACAGCAGCAGCAGCAGCCCGCGCCGCCGCCTCCGCACACCCGCATCGCCGTCTCCTAGTCCCGCGCTGCCGCCCCGTCGCCTCACCACCGACACTGTCGTCTGATCTCGCCGTCGCCGCCGGTTTTCTCGTGAACCGGTAAGACCGGCCGGAACCCGTTTTATTTTCTGTTTTTTTCGGTTCGGCGACATAGATCGGTTTTCTTAAGTAACGAACGTCCGTCCGTTCGTTCGTTTTAACGAATGGTTTTCGCCGTATAAGTTCTGTTAGTGAACGTCGCGCCGTAGGATTTTTCTTTTTAGTTTATTTTCGGCCAGGGGCCTATCCGCAAATAGTTTTATCGCGATATAGCCCCTGATCTTTAAACTAGCATAACCTTTTACTTGTTTATCCAAATTAGGTGAAACCAGCGCCTAATTCTTCGTTTCGTTCTGCTCTTTCCAGTTAACCAACTTGAAAATGATTTTGGTACTGTAAAATTTGAGTTTAGTCCAAATTAGTAAACGATCTTGTTTTGTTCGTATTTTGAGTTTCATTTCTCCGTTTGAGTTGAATCTTTTTGCAAACCGTAGCTAATCACATGTACCTACTATTAAGATCTAATCCTCATGATAATAATGCTATTAGGTTTGACTTTTGTTAGTTTAAGACATTTGCTTTTTTGTGTTTGATTTGAATCTTTTCTCGGTTTTCTCGTTGCTTCGTTTGAGTGATTGCTTATGTTATTGTTTGTCTACGCTAGATTACCCGGAGTACGAAGCTTGTTACTGCGAATCTCTAGAGTTTGCAGATCGTCAGCAATGCAAGTTACACTTTGATCATACTCTTTCATAACCAGTTTTTACAATGCATTAGTTCTGCCCCTCAAATATTTGCATGAGTAGGATTGGGAACATGTGGTTTGGTTGTAGTACTTGAGGTAGGAACCTAATACCTTTTGATCACCCCGGGAATATACATTATGCTTATTTTTTCTTAGCCATACTCATAGACGGGGATTGGATCGTGAATCACACATGGGAATTTGAGAGTTATTTAATCGTGGTTAACATTAAGGTGACTACTCTAATATACATCTGGGTGGATTGGTTGCAGGCACCTGGGGAACCCAGTGTTGCCTATTTTGGAAAATCCCAAAGTACCTGTGTGATTCTTCCTACGGTTCGCCACCCAGGCTGGAAGGGATAATAAGATTATTCATGCTAGAAACTTCTGTGTGCAGCCACATGTCATTATGGGCTTTGGCATAGTTCGAGTAAGTTGCGTGAGCTCTTGAAGAGGTGGACAGATGTAGGAGAAAGTAGGTGTACCGGTCCGCCCGGAGTAGGGAGTTAATGCTTCATAAAGACTATGTCTCGGTCATCCGTTTCTCAAACATCATGTAGTGCGAGAAATTCAACGGAGGAGATCGAGTATTGTGGGGAAAAGTGCGCAAACCTCTGCAGAGTGTATAAACTAGTCATGATTAGCCGTGTCCCGGTTATGGACATCTTGAGTATCTAGTACTTGAATCTATTGATGTGATCTCATCACGTTACTTTAATTAATTTGATTTGGGTTAATGATGATACTTTTAATTGGGATTTGAGTTGGGGTTACCTTCTCAAATAATGGGTAACTTGGCAGTAGTTAAATAAATTATTCCTTTGTTGTAGGGAAAAACTAGCTTTATGCAAAATCATAAACTTACAGCCTCCACCAGCCAAATATTGCATGTAGATATAGTTCTTGCATTACTTTACAGTGTAACTGCTAGCATATTCAATGTGCTGACCTACACGGCTGCAACGTCTCATGTTGCAGACTACTCAGACGATGAATAAGGTGCGATAGGTCGTTGTTTTGCACTCAGCTATGCCGTTGGAGTTGATGGACTCATTTACCTTCGAAGCTTCCACAGTTATCTAGTTTAGATGGCCTTCAGCCACTATATTTTTGTGTAATCATATTCTTTATGAGGACTCGATGAAATAAGTGTGTGATTGAAACTCTGTTATAATTTCTTGAGTACTGTGTGTGTCAGCATTACCGATCTAAGAATGACATTGATGCACAGGGACTTGACCGTTTGAGGTCTAGTCGCTACATCGAGCTCTCTAGCAGCATTCATCTTTTGCTGAAAAAACCGATCACGTCTCGCCAGTTTCTCTGCAATGCGCCTGAACAACTCGGTGCTCATCCTAAACCGACCCCGGAAGTATGACTCGGGGTACACAGTATTATCCGTAAAATAGTGCCTCGTCAATCTGTTGTCGGCATCGATCTTATCCCTCCAAATTTTCTGCCGGCCCATAACTGAACCACCGTGTTTCGGTTTTTTATTGATGTGCATAACTAGGATCATTGCAAGGTCCTCCTCCTCTTCGATATCAAATTCTTCTTCAGAAGAATCATATGACGAACTCATCTACAATGTTGAATTTAAACTAGTCTATAAAAACTACAAATAACATGCATCAAATTCATGTAAAAAAATGTGAAGTTGAAGCAATACATACCTTACAAGCGTTTTGTCGAACACCTTGTGGGCGCAGAGCGGCAGTGGCCGGTGAGCGATGTTCGTCGGAGGAATGACGCGCACGAGGGGAGGCGGCGACTGAGGGAGACAGAGGAAGCGGCGGCGGCACGTGAATATGCCAGGGAAGCGTCAGAATGGTCACCGGAACAAATGGGGTGATGCGGGCGGCGACGCCAGCGTCTGGATTGGGGTAGGTGGAAGTCACGGCGCGGACGCTCGAGTGTGCAGCGCACGGGAGCGGGCGCAACAAGTAAACGATGTGCGATGCCGTTTCGCCCCGCGCGCTGAACTACTTATTCCGTGCGCACGGTTTTTGCGTCTTCGCTGGAGCGCCCGGAGCGGCTGCGCGTGCGTAAAAAACATAAATTTTCCAGCTCGATACTTATATAGCGCGGCTGTTGGAGATGATCTTACATGCTCTCTATGGAATGTCTACGCACTACTATTAGAGTTAAATACACTGGAGTGGCTCAACTTGTCATGCATGTTTAGTTTAATGTCTAAAGCTGTAAATACACAAAATAGGTGTTTGAACGTGTGGTCTGTGCAAATACGGTGCCTCCTTGTGCACCCGATACGTGAAGATTATTACGTATCTAAAGTAAAAGATAATTTGGCAGCAGTTAATTGGATATTAGTGAAGGCGCCGGGCCCACCCCTGAAAATCAAGGGGGCGTTTAGTTTTGGTGGAAGGAAGTTACTTAGGAACACGTAAAAGCTTACGTAGGTCTAGGACGACATGTTGTTCCAGATCCATAGAACTGAAGTCAGCGCATCATCAGATATGTCAGGGAGACAGGGACCCACGGTCATGGCGGTCACCCCACGATGGTCTGCAACAGGATCTCCTTGAACGTGTCGATCGAGCCGGGCATGCACTAGTGCACGCAGTCGTTCTGTACCCGCGACAGCGAGTCCGTGCCGCCGACGAACGGGTCGCTGCGCATGTGCAGCCCGGGGTGGCCGTCCGGATACTGGTTGACCAGTTTCGTCACGTCGAGCACCGCGAATCGCAGGGGCCCGACGCCGGCGTTGGCCGCCACCGCCTTCAGGCCTTCAGGACGGTCTTCCGCATATCATTCTCCCTGTAGCTAGCTCTTTCTAGTTCTCCATGTACGGGTGTTTCCTGGGACACGCGCCGGCCTTGTCGCAGTCCCCTTCGAAGTGCGCTGTCGAGAATGTGGTGACCACGACCACCTTCCTGCCCGCACCGTGCCGCCGGGCGACCTCGGCGAGCATCCGGTGCACGGCTTCCTTGACCATGGCGAAGAAGGCCGTCACGGTGAGATTTAGGTTCGCGCGGTCGTAGCAGCCCACAACCTGTTAGGGCCCTTGCCAAACCAGCCTGGTTGCAAGCTGCATATACCTGGGAGGAGGCCACGAGTTAACCATCCAGTGGATCACGGACGAAACCGGCGGCGGCTACCTCCTCCTCCTTCCTCTGCTCTTCCTCTACCTCATTCCTCTCCCCTCCTGTAATCCAATTCGTGTGTAATCGAAGCTTATATCCCGTAGATCGTGAGAGAGATATCTGGTACCTAACATCTGGTATACAGAGCCAGGCACCACCCTCCCCCCTCGAAATTTTCTCCCAATTCATACAATTCCACCGGCGACGACACCATGCCCATTGTGAAACCACCAGAGTGGGATGGCATGTCTGCCAAGGAGCAGTTGTTGTGGTACCTCGAGAGGTTATGCGCTCAGGCAGATGAGATGAGCTCAGTGCTGGGTATTGCAAGCGCGGGTGCCCCTCCCGTGGTTACCCCGCTCGATCCGGCGGCCTCAACCACGACGCACCCCTCCTCGGCGCCCGTCCCCGACGTCTCCGGCTCCACCACCAAGGCCCAGGAAGTGCTCGAGGTCATCCACGACGCAGCTCCTGTCTGTGTCGTGATGGCGCCCGTCACCTGTTCGACAGATGGCCCGAACCAAGCTGTCGCCTCCACCAACGTCAACGAGGTCCGCGACGCCACCACCATCACCTACTCCGAGCCTGCGGTCGACAACAAGGAGGTCGAGCATGTCACACCCGCGCTGGCAACGTCCTCCATCAGCAGCGACACATACTCTATCACCAAGGAGGTTGTTCCTTCCATGGCGATCACCACCGACATCGACCCCAAGGCTGATGTCAATACCACCCCAGTGACGAGCGAGGTGGACCACAATGCCATTCTCCTCATCCCGAGCGATCCTGCTGCACCAACACTGACCAGGTGGTGTTCGACGAACTCCTGCCGCCGCGACAGCAACCGACTGAGGTATGTGCTCCACCCAGCTGCGACACCATCGTGGCTGGTGCTACGACCAAAAGCATGGCCATCATTTTGGAGGGATCATGCAGAGGAAACCGAGGTGCGACCGATACCCTGGCCGTCGTTTTCACTGGGAAGGTTCCTGGAGCGTCCATATATGAATGTCCAGTTGCATGGCATTGGGTTCAATATCAGCTCCATTCCTAGGGAACTCTTTCATATTGGAGAATTGGTGTGCGATACATGGGAGTGGTGGTATAATCTCAGTGGACACTACATAAGGATATTCTCTGGTCTGTCCTTATGCTTATGGCCCTTGAAACAGGACAATGAGGATTCAGAATTCAGTAAGCATGTCAAACTCTTTCATGGCAGTCACTGGCTTGTGGAACTCTGTGCACGTGCTAGCACTAGTGCTCCTGTTATGCATCAGTCTTGTCTTGCAACTCTAGCTGTGCATCTATTTTGGACTGTGAAGAAATTGGGTGTTCTGAGCATAGAACTCGCCATCAGCATTGATCTTCAGCTAAGGCGGTTTGAGTTATTGCTATCTTCTATGCAGTCACCACATGGTCTTCAGGCTCAAGTTCAACAAGTTTCTTGTGCATGTATGTTCTTTGTTTCAACTGAGCTACAAGGTTATGATGGAACCAAGCTCCGACCGAGACCATGGCCACTGTTCAAGTTCAATCAGGAGACCATCCAATAGGAACTACAGTGGGCATCATTTTCAGGTAATTGTCGAGCAATACATGTGAGGTTCGAGCAACACTTGTGTGGTCAGCTCTATCTAAAGGTAGTGAGCATGTCAGTGTTTAGGAAAATATTGAATCACGAGGAAAATCGAGGGAGTGGCCATCTTGCTAACAAATGCAGTTCCGAACAATGTCGTCAATATTGGGACTTTCTGGTGTTTTTGATGGTTCAACCCATCTGTCTTTGTGAACAACCTTTCAGTTACTCGCAAGATGCACAACCACAGTTTTGGCATCTACTGGGAGGTATTGCATATTGTTCTGATCAGAGGAAGCTGGAAAACAGTGGTTCACATAATTTAGTTGCAAGCTCCAAGGCAGGTGCATGTTCACCTACTGATAGGTACATGGTGCTTGTGCAATTGTTGACTCATGTGATCATGCGTAAGGAAGCAGTACCCAGCCTAGTTCTTCAGTATGCTCCATGTACCATGATCCTATTATTGCCTTGGTATGCAATCTGTGATTCACGAGAGATGGACCCGGTGATTTGTACCAAAGCTTGGGCGAAATGCTGCTGTCAGCATCTTACATCAACAAAACCCTGTAAACTGTCGCTGGACAAAGGACGTCTAAACTGTGACATTTTTTATGGAGGAATCAATTCGGAATTGTGGCACCCATCGAGTATGCAGTGTGTCCAGCCACCAAATTTTGCTCTGACATATCCGAAATGGGATGCAGTATGTGCTGCTGTTGTTCATATGTTTAAGCAGAGCACTACTCAGGACTGGGGGCGGCTGCTTTATTTCAACCAGAGACCACCTGATATGTGTTTTGGAATAGCAAAATCCAGTACAATCAGTCTGCGTATTCCTGCTGTATTTGTCTGGTTGATTCCCACCTATGCAATCATACATATTGCTGGCGCTCAGTGCATGTGTTTGTGCAGTGCGCCATGCTTGTTTGGAAAATGGTGGAGCAATAGAGATCTGGTGTATACAATACAAGAATGGACATTTTACAAAAATCACGTACTGGAGCATGCTACTGTGGGTAATATTCCTAGTCCTGGAAAATTGCAGAAGACAATGCAGACTCTGAACATCTTAGTATGGTGGCAATTTCGGGCTTAAGGAAAAATTAAGTGGAGTGACCATGCTTCAATCAGTTTTCACGGTGGCAAATCTGAGTATAGTAATGAACTATTTTGGGCTGTGGATCGCCAAGCAGAAGTGGTGCCGAGACCTGCAACGAGTTGCTCATGTGTTGTGGTGGCATTGCTGTGTGAGTGCCCATTATCTTCAGGGAGGGAGTTTGTTGCTGGGGCCATGACTATAAGCATTGAAATAGGAATTACAAAAGATCAGTCCAGCTCGCCACTCGGTTCATCATATTTGGATGCCCATCACATGAAGTTCCTGAACTGGTACTCCTACTGTCATTACTCAGGCAGTAAGGGAGTGTCCGCCATGGATGGTATGGCGTTCTCAGCCTACTCCGATCAAGAACATTTTCAAGGAGGGAGGGATGTCATCACTTTCATTGTCGTTGATGACTTCACGCAAGGTTCCGTTGACCACAGGTACTATCTTGATTTTGACCAAGACCCTGCGAACAACGACCACTTCCTCGACCACTCCTTCGATCATGTCTCCGTCGGCGACTTCGACCAAGTCCAAGAGTATCGAGCGCAATGGGATCCGGGCAGGCGACGGCTTGAGGTCAAGCCGGGTTTCAAGGAGGGGGAATGTTAGGGCCCTTGCCAAATCAGCCCAGCTACAGGCTTGTCATCGGCCCAACACAAAGGCCTGGTTGCAAGCTACATATACCTGGGAGGAGGCCACGAGTTAACCATCCAATGGATCACGGACGAAACCGGCGGCGGCTACCTCCTTCTCCTTCCTCTGCTCTTCCTCTACCTCATTCCTCTCCCCTCCTGTAATCCAATTCGTGATCGAAGCTTGTATCCCGTAGATCGTGAGAGAGATATCTGGTACCTAACACAACCTTGCCGCCGTCGTGGTAGATGCCGGGGATCACGAACTAGTGCCCGACAGACTGGACGGCCGCGTCGAATGCGCCCAGCTGTGACATCCACCGTCGTCGAACTGAGTCCAAGAACACGTTCTTGTGCTGGCCGTCGGCGTGCTCCACCTTCTCGACGACCTTCACCAGGAGGGGCGACCAGACGATAGACACGGCGCCGTTGTACTGCCGAAATGAGGCAGAGCAGCGACTCGCCCTGGTAGCGCGCCAGGGAGTCGGCAACGAAGGCCAGGTGCCTGTTCCGGGCAGGCTCAGGAAGGCACAAAAACGTTGCGATGCGATTTTTTTTAATTAATTAATTAGTTTGAGATGGGTTAGACCAACTCCAACGTAGCGACCCAAATTCCGCCTGCGTCTGATTGGGTCGTTACGGACAAAAGTGAAGACCCAACGCGCCGACCCAAACCCAAAACGCGCCAGCTTTGTGTCCGCCCCGACAAATTTGCGGCACAAATGTGGCCATCTGGACGCGAAGCGGACGCCTCACACGTCTTTACGGTGTTTGTCGTGTCCCCACCTGGCGGCCGTCCAACTACCCACGGTCAACTTGATCAGCTTAATTTATGACCTCGAACACACGCATCAACGACAGGCGGCCGGCCTTTTTTAAGCCGAGCGTGCGGGGGACCGTCCTCATCTGTTTCCAGAAGCCCCCTCCCCATATCGCCACCCTCTGCTCCCCCGTCGGCGCAACCCAAGCCACCTAGCCACTGCACGATGGGCTTCTTCTCCGGCAACGCAAGAGGCAGAGGAGGCAGCCTACCTCGAGCAATGGCGCTCGCGACGACTGGCCGAGGAGCGCTGCGAGGGTGAGTACCTCGAGCAGCTGGAGCACGACGCCGAGGAGGAGCAGCGCGAGGCGGAGGAGGAGGCGCGGCGGCCGACATCGCCGCCGCCTGGAACACGACGTTCCCCTAGGCCGGCCATGCGCGGACGCTATTCGACCTCATCGGCCCCGAAGTCGACGGTATGGATGCCTAGGGCAGTGCGCCACCTCGTAGTTTATTTTTTTAATTTTTAATTAATGAAATGTGGACGCATGGACTCTCGCCGGCCTTGGTGGCTGGCTTTAATGTTTAATTAATGTTTATTTTTATTTTTAAAATATTTGTGTTTTTTTTCGCGTGCTGTCAAAATGAGTCGGGCCAGCGTTCGGCATGCATTGACCCAAACGCGAAAGCGGATGTGAGCGTCCGCCGGGCCGACCCAACCAGATTAAAAGCGGATAAAATCGTCGTCCGTTTAGGTCAACGCATTGGAGTTGCTCTTATATATCAAATGATAGCCAAGTGTTATCATCAATCTAATTAGACTCTTGATTTCTGAAGGACTGAGTAATTCTAGTGCTCTTCAGTACTGATGAGAGTGCGCAGTGGTGCCTGATGCTGTTGTCTGTGAATGGATGGTGAGCCACGCTTGCGATGATGCTGGGCTTAAAGCCAGGTGGTAGAGCCGTATTAATGATGTTGCACTGTTTTGTTTCTCCGTGTGTGGTTCATTTTGAATTTTGAACTTGGGGAGCAGTGAATGCATGTTCAACGGAGACGGCTCAGGACTTATCCGGGAAAGGCACTTTTATATCCAGATTGAAACTGGACTTGAACCTTCATATTCAGATTTCACTCCACTTTCACTTTCATATCAGAAACGTCGACTTGCACTTTCAATAGTGAATTATTCACTTTCCGGAACTGGAAAACTATTCAAAGAGTGACTCTTAAGCCTCTTTTGGGTTCTCGGAACCAACGGGCTTAACGCCCGAGGCTTTTCTACAAGGAGCTCACTGTTGCCTTTTTTTTTGCGAAGAGCTCACTGCTGTCTTTTTAGCTTCAAAACTACAGGGCGTGCATTAGCACTACAGCTTTTCAGCCTCCCTTTGCAGGTTCCGAGCGAGCGCACAACAAGGAATTTTCCATACTAGATCGACTCAATGTTACCGAATCTACTCCGAGTCTCTCTTCTCTTCATGGTTGGAAGTTGGAATGCCTAAAGTATTGATGCATTAGGGTCCTCTTAAGCCTTGTTTCCTTTTTGATCTTACCTTTCCATTGCTATCACTCGCTCTAGCCTCTCCTAGCCAGAGCTTCCTCTATCAACAACACCCCCACACGATTGATTCCCTCGATAAGTATGGCTCATATAAGGTAACCTGACCATAGTAATTTATGATATCGGCTAAGCTACCACCACTATGGCTAGCCTAAGAATACTACTGGAGGCCCACATCCACATGCATCTCAACGGTGGTTATATCATGTGCATCTAAGACTGGGCTCATAATCCAATTTTCAATGCGTTCACCTCTTATTTGGAAAGGTATGTAGACGCTTTCCACGCATCGCTCTGCAATTTTCCTAGTGTGTTATCTATCTCTTTTTTTAAAGATCATGTTTAGTTTAGTGGCACATAAATTTTCTCGTATAAAAATAGAATATGCAATTTTTTATTTTAAATATTTTTTCTATTTTCATGACGTACTTTGAAGAGGTAAACATGATTTTTTTCAACAATTTATGGGGATTGAAATAGTTTGACCAATATTAGAAATTATTGTCTAAATATATGTATGTTCATTCTGGACCACAAGGCACACACTATTATTGTTTATCTTTATTGTATTTCTAAAATGCCTAATTAATAAAAAATTGATACTGTTGTATTTTGTAAACTATTCAACATGCATTAAAAATTATTGTGTTGAAATTTTCAATACAAACATTCAAAATGTTATAGAATAATTTTTAATACACATTGAACCTTTTTTAGTACACATTGCCAATTGTTTAATGCAAGTCGAACATTTTTTTAAACACCATATAATTTTTTTAATACATGTGAAACATTTTCCAAAAACATGTTGAACAGTTTCCAAATGCACTAACAATTTTTTCAAGTTTATGGCAATTGTAATTTTTCATACATTTATTTTTTTGAACGGTAAATAATATGAAAAATAAAAATAAATAACTTGAGAAAATAAAAATAAAAATTGTGCGGGCCCACAGAAGCGCCATATAAATAAAAATTGCTTGAAGATGTACATAGCAACCAAAGAGGTTTTTTGAAACGCGGTGGTCACTGAGCATGTTTTTTTAAAGGCTAAAAACTGGCACTTAAAGGTTTAAAAAGAATTGGTTGTTTTCACAAAAAAAATGTATGGATGTGCTCTAAGTGACATTCAAATTTTGTTCACAATTATGCTACATTATGCCCTGCAAAAAAGACAAAGATCCGGTCAAAAAAACTATCTGATTTTTCCATGGATTTGTCTTTTATATCTCTCATGTACAAGCACAAATTTTGATGAGAAATCACAGATATATTACACTTCTATGTGTACATGTACAAAAAAATTGTGAGCCACCCTGTGGTTGGATGGTTAGAGGGACAGTGGTATCCCCAGCACACCAGGGTTCAAGTCATGGTGCTCGCATTATTCCTGGATTTATTCAGGATTTCCGGCGATGCGCTTTCAGTGGGAGGAGACGTTCCCGTCGACGACGAGGTGCCTACGGTGACTTCGTAAATCTCAAGATGATGTGCCGGCTCAGTCTCTCGAAGGTGCTTATATGGGTAGGATGTGCGTGTGTGCGTTCATAGCTATAAGTGTATCCGTGTATGTATGAGCGCTTGCGTATATATTGTGTTTAAAAATGTACAAAAATATTCAAAAAATAGCTGTAAAAATCTGTTTCTTTTAACTTTGAAAAAGAAGGACACAATATGCCTATGGTCCGAAGTTACCTTTTGCGTATCAATGCAATATATGGAGTTGATTACGAACAGAAGGCAACCCCCGCCCTCGCATCCCCTGCGTCGAGCGACATCTGAGAAAACCTAGCCGCCACCGTTCGGCAACCCATGCTCCGCACACCCCCCGCGTCGCCGCTACGGGAGGGCTAGCCGGCAAAGCCGCGCCGGACACGGGGATGGCGACGGTGGGGCAGTTTCCTTCCCCGACGAGTCCTCCCCATCCGCCCGAGACCCGAGCTCTGCGTGACATGGATAGCCTTCCCCGGCAGTTGGACTGATCTCCGGCGCG